GAAGAATCTCCATTACCTGAAAACATTAACATGTACAATGGGGTTCAAAATACTTCTTTGCATTTTTATATTTAATGCAAGTTTTCCACTATAAATTATATCAGCATGACAATTTGAATGAAAAGTCTTTCAATTAAAAAGTTTAAAATAACAAAAATCCCTGATTTTAATGCGAACATGGACATTTGAAACCCACTATATTTAGATACATGCATGTCTATGTTAAAAACAAAAGAATAAGTTCTGAAAAACGCACCTTACCTGACATGTACGAACGGCCATTGCAATCGTCAGCATTCATCATCACACCAGCTGCCTGTACCGAGAAATCATACAAAAAAATATTTCTTTACAAGGCACAAAACGTACACACCTTACAAAAAAACTTTGAACATAAAATAGCAAAGCAAGTTTTTAAGAAACCTAAGTGCATGCACTGGTACATTTTACAGTAATACAGTGCACACGAAGAACGCTAAAATGTATGTATTTGGCTCCTCTGATTTCAACTGAAAAAATAAACTGGTTTACTTGCAGTTTGTTATTTCTTCCTTTCCTGTGTGGTTGCACGGTTCGAGTAGCTGAATAATTTACATGCACACACTGGTCAAGATCTCATTTCTAGCTCAACAGCTGAATTGAGTGTCCATTCTATAGAATTCTAGTCTTAAATGGAGAGTGTAAAATGCAAGAAACTGCCCTCCCTTTAGCCTGTGACCTATCAGAACACAGGCTGACATCTAAAGCAACGCTGATACTAAGCCAAATGCAGGGGTTGTTATGATTTGCTATTACTCAGAAATGTCCACATATTGTCTGTCGCTTTGGTACTGGAAACAAATGAAACCCTTTAGCAAAACAAAATACATGTTTATGTTTATAAAAAGAACTATTTGACACATCTGCTGTCAAATGAGAGCCATATTTAAAGAAAGCCTTCAAAGCCTTTAACCATTGGCATGTAAATAGTTCTTTCTGGATGTCTATAAATCAAATATAACCCCAAAATATTTCATTTTGTCTAAAATTCAGACCCTCACACATACTGCTCTTTATGACAGGAAATAGTAGGGCTAATGACCTCCCCTTTGATGTAATATTTTACACTAAATAACAACACTAAAACACTAAATAACAACATAAACCACCATGGCGCTTTCCTAAACATTGCTAGTGCATGGCATAAGTGGGAATGAATAGATTTGTTGAAATGGACATGCAAAATAGTCTCATTTTGTCTGCTCCACTCATAACAGAGATTTTTGAAATATACATAAACTAAAATTAGAAATAAAGATACACCATACATTTACTAATAACAAAATAGTGCACAAGGTGTTTTAAAACAGGCAATGAAATGCTATAAGTGATTGAAAAAACTGAGTTGTCGACCTTTCTTTTTACACAAATTATGCATTAACAAATATTTTATTTAAAAATAATTAGTTTTTTCCCCATTATAATACACTTTGGTACCAGATACAAACTCCTTCTGAAGGATTTTAGATTTATGGTATCACAATTTAATTATTTATTAAGTTTTTCATAGTTATTATGGATCAACACACATTCAGATATCATAAAGAGCAGGTGTAGGCTCTAGACAGTTGCTATTATACAGTTAGATGACAAACGACATATTGTTTTCTTTTTCATTCTTTAAAACCTAGAATAAACATGGACTCTTAAAGACCATTATCTTATATTATTTATATGGTGCAATACTTATAATAATATATTATCTAAACATATACAATAACATGATATGAACAAACAGGCCTTCAGAAACGTAAGACCTCTTTGTGTCGTAAAAGACAGAAAACATACACAGCAGCAACAGGCAGATCTCATGAATTCACCGTGCTATCAATGAGTCCAATAACCGCAATGATCGAACCAGCCCCTCTCTGTCAGCAATCACACCATAAACAATGCCTGGCGACGAGAACATGATTATCGTGCTCGAGCACTCGTATGTTTAGTAACTTTTCATGCACCATCGTGCTGCAGAGGAGGATTGACAGATTGCACGCAGAATCATGTCAATCCTGTCTGTCTAGTGCAACACTAGCTAGCAACCGCTGCTAACCAGCTAACGAGACGTGACAGCTCACAACAAGGCAAAGACATCGCTAAACTAACTCACAAACGAAAGAACTAGCGTTGCTGACAACGCAATCCAATCGGCAGCCTCCGGTCGTGAAATACAGTCGATCTTTAGACGTGATAAACTAAAGCGGAATTATGTTTCCTGAGAGCCCGCTGGCGTTGCTATGGCACCCAGCACTCGACAGATGCGTCTAGCCGTGTAAACCCTCCCAATCCGAGCATAGTTACCTGACCTAATGTCACTTTCCTTGAATAACTACTATCGATTTTGCACGGTGAGTATTTTTTTTCTTACCTGACAATCGACTGTGATTGCAATATTCATATAGCAGAAGCGCCGTTTGTTTTCTCTGGCGAAGGCAGCATCTCCGGGATCTTTTACCTGAAACCCCAAACAACTTCCGGGCCCATGCCGGGATACAGGCCCGAATAACCTATAACCGAAAACCCATGATTGGGAGGGATTATCGAATGCATCGATCCTCATGCTACAGGTTAGGAAATACAAAGCTACGCAGAAGCTACAAACGACACATATTATTATATTACTTACTATGATTTAATTTCGACGATAGTGTCAGCAAAAGTGACTTTTTGTTGAACGTATAAGTTAATTGGAACAAATGACACGATGATATTCTAAATTCTAAAACAATCAATAGGCTAATTATATTAATGTACTTATTTTATAATTGTTAGTATTTCTATGGCACTGTCAATAAAAGTAACATTCAAAACAGACGTGTTTACTAAGATTTATCTTAAATGTACTTTTTTCATTTAAGCTTTGGGAATTTTGTTGAACGTACTGTATAATTAGAACAAATGACAGTATATTCTAAATTCTTAAACCATTAATAATTATCTTCATGTGCATATTGTTGTTGTTATTATTTCGATGACAAGAGACATTCAAAAAGAAATGTTTCTTAAGATTTATCTTAAATAATAGGCTACTTCATTTAAGCAACCCTTCAGCACTTCCCTGTGTCAATTCAAACAGATAGAATCTGTAGGAATTTATTTGAACGTATAATTAGAACAAACCACACAGTAATGATATTCTAAATTCTAAAACCATTTACAATTGTGACCCTGGAACCAAACGACAAAACCAGTCATAAGGGTCAGTTTTTTTAAAATTGAGATTTATACATCATCTGAAAGCTGAATAAATAAGCTTTCCATTGATGTATGGTTTGTTTGACAATATTTGATATGACAACATTTGGCCGAGATAAACTATTTGAAAATCTGGAATCTGAGGGTGCAAAAAAATAAAAATATTGAGAAAATCACCTTTAAAGTTGGCCAAATGAAGTTCTTAGCAATGCATATTATTAACCAAAAAAATAAGTTTTGATATATTTACAGTATGAAATTTACAAAATATCTTCATGGAACATGATCTTTACTTAATATCCTAATGATTTTTGCCATAAAAGAAAAATCGATAATTTTGACCCATACAATGTATTGTTGGCTATTGCTACAAATATATACCCATGAGACTTATGACTGGTTTTGTGGTCCAGGGTCACAATTATATTAATGTGCATATTGTTGTTAATATTTCGATGACACTGTCAATAAAAGTAGCATTCAAAAAGTAGCATTCAGATGTGTTTATTAAGATTTATCATAAATTTACTTTTTTCATTTAAGCTCTTGAATTATGTTGAATGTAAAATTAGAATAAATGATACCGTATTCTAAATTCTAAAACCATTAATAATTATATTCATGTGCATATTCTTGTTGTTATTATTTCGATGACAGTGCCAGTACAAGTGACATTCAAAAAACAAATGTTTCCTAAGATTGGCTACTTTTTTCATTTAAGCAACCCTTAAGCACTTCCCTGTGTCAAAACAGGTAATATTTGTCTGTTTGTGGGAATTTCTTTGAACGTATAATTAGAACAAATCACACAGTAATGATAGGCTTATTCTAAATTCTAAAACCATTAATAATTATATTATTGTGCATATAAAAAAAATTACATTCAAAAAGAAAATGTGTTAAAAAGATTTATCATAAATACAAAATTCCTTAATTAAAGCAACACTTAATTATTTCCCCGTGTAGGGTAACAGGTGGTTTTGTTGAACATATAATTAGACAAAATTGATACATTCATGATATTCTAAACTCTATAATTTCATTAGTGTACATATTCTTTGTCTTCTTCTTTTTATTATTGTAGGTGTGGCTGTTATGTAGGCCTGTCCTATAGTGACATGCATATACAGGTGCATCTCAATAAATTAGAGTGTCGTGGAAAAGTTAATTTATTTCAGTAATTCAACTCAAATACAATTTGAGTTGAATTACTGAAATAAATGAACTTTTCCACGACATTCTAATTTATTGAGATGCACCTGTAGTACCATATAATACTCTGTTCTGATGTACAGAGTCATACTAATTTAGACATATATATATATATATATATATATATACATACAGTATATACTAAGTACATATATTTACTATTTACTCATATCCTTTTATATTCAGTCATATACATGAATTTTATTACATTTATTTTAATTCGTGAATGACAATAGCATTTAATATTTTATTTTTGTAATTAATATTTAAATTTAGTTTATGTGTTTATTTATTTTTCTACAAAAAATTGCAAACAATAATTGGCCGACCCCCCTGCAGTACCACGGCAGACCCCCTTGGGGTCGCCATCTCCCTGTGGAAGACCGCTGTGTTAGCGTATAAACTCTTTTAATACTTAATGTTGCCACAAGATGGCAGAGAACCTTAAGTTGTCCTCCTCGGGGAGAACTTCTCTGAACAAAAATGAGAAACTCTTTTGTTTAAAAAGATTCACGTTTATTACCTGAGATTCAATTTATCAAGAAAAAAATCCTGTTGTTCTCGAGTATGTGAAAATTAACTCTTGTGTCTTTTAAACCATATGTGACCTCTTCCTCAGAAGATCATTGTCTTCTTTTTGTCTTACGTCTGTTGAGAAGTATTTCATATGCCTCCTGTATCTGAATGAACATCTTTTGTGCCTCTGCTTGCCGCTTGGGGTTGTGATCTGGATGCCACAATTTAGCCAGTTCCCTATAGCTGCGAGTGACCTCCTCCTGAGAAGCTTCTTCTGACAATGATAGTATCTGATTTTAAGAAAATAATATGATGACAAATATGTTATATGTAAACACACTGCAAAGTGAAAATAATAAATGTTATATACCCAGCTGACAACTCAAAACTATAGCCTACTGAGCTCACCTTCAATGCCTCCATTTCTTTTTTACTGTACTCATTAAGAATTATTTCTAGCACCTTCCTCCAGCTTTCTTCGTAGAAACCCCCTCCTGTCAGGACACATAGCAGACGGTATGGCAACAGCAGGAAATACTCCAAGAGTCCTTTGAGCCATGGAATAAACCAGAAGAAATCAAGCAGGGCCGCTATACAGTCCGATATGTAGTATAATGTGGCAGTGGTGTTGTGGAAAGCACAGTATCCCAGCGGAGCAGAGAAAGCCAGCACACCTAAACTCAGACGATACAGACGAGGCCCTTGGGAAGATTAACACAAATTGGGTTAATTAAACAGTCTTGCACATGATGTAACCCAAACGACTTTACCTAGCTAACAAAAATATGTCCTAAGAATTCCAAATATGTTATGAAAACATTCAAACTCTTAGCTGTGTAGAGTATCAAAGTATCAAAAATATGTTCTTAGAAAGTTGTTAATGTTCACATTAGGTCCAGTTTTTTCAATGTTTTAAAAACACTTTTTTTTCTTGGTTATGTGAATGTTAAAGGAATAGTTCACACAAAAATGAAAATTGTGTCATCATTTACTCACCCTCCTGTCGTTCTAAACCTGTATAAGTTTATTTCTTATGTTGAACACAAAAGAAGATATTGTACTAGGTTGACATGCATTAAATGTCATATGTATAGTGCATCTCACCAAGTGGCTCTGGCCTCAGAGGTTTGAATGTGATGTGCTGCGCAGCAGTAACACTGCCAGCAATGCTGATGGGCAGAGGAGAAAGATTGCTGCCGTAGAAGATGGATGACGTGATGATGCACGTAATGAGGGTCTTTTGAAGGTGAGAGGTCTGCTGGCCCACAGAGGACACCAGATGAATACCTGTAGCTACGCTCAGTGGGAGCACTAGGAAGTAGAAAAAGCTAAGAGAACTGAGGCTTATTAAAGCCACAGAGCCGAAGTAAATACCAACACAAATCTGACCGGCAAACCGAATCAGGCCTACTGGTGGTGGTGGAGTGGCTTGTGGACGTCTAACGGGGGCTCTGTCTGCTGCATGGTTGGCTTCATTCACGTACGATGGGATACGGAAGAACTCCCTTGCCCAGCCAAGGCCAAAACCGCCGAAGGTTAGTATCCAAAGAAGAGCATGGCTGTCTCTGCCCAGGTAAATGTGATGAAGGCCAAGTGGGCCACCAATTGCCCACAAGGCGTATGTGATCATGATCTTTTTAGCCATGAGGTCATTCTAGCTGCACACTGGAGCTTGAAAAAAAAAAGTCAATCATTTTCAAGTTTAGCCAATAACGTTATTATGAAACTGCTTAATAATAAAGTTTATGGACAAGCATGTCGTGTGAATCTCATACAGTTTCTAAAAGAATAGTTCACCCAAAAAGGAATATTTCATCTGCTTCTCATCATGTAAGACTTGGAATATAGCATGTAAGACATTGACTATGGTGCTTTTTTCTCTTTTGAGCTTGATAGCATTGGTCTGCATTTACTGTATGAACAAGAAAAGCACATTTTGGTAAGTATTTTCTCCTTTGGTGTTCCACAGACGAAGTAAAGTCATACAGGTTTGGATTTGACATGAGGGTGAGTAAATAATGACAGAATTGCCATTTTTGGGTTTTATGCTTTTGATAATCTCTCTTTTCACTCTCTCATATCACCCATATCACTGGCTTTCAAGTTATAAAATCATACAGCTCACTGTTCTCTTACCTGCGGGAACTGAGAGATCAAGCTTCATTCACCAAATTGTTTTAGGAGACTCCTATAACATGGTCAGCATTAAAAATATAAGACTGCATGCAATAGATCACAGCATTATCGCTTTGAGGTTAACTTAAAATTTAAATCATTCACTTTCAGAAAGTAATAACCTATGGACTTCCGTGTTTGCATCAGTATGGACTTTGGTTTAATGATGACACAGTTGTAAAGAGTAAACTTTGATTTACAATATCTGTAACACTTTTCAGACATGGAACATTAGACATGTACTAAAATGCACTGGATTTCTTACAAATGTTTTTACAGGATAAACATGCTGTATCCTTAGACAGCAACCGTAAACACATTTCTGTTAATCTATTAATGTTTAAAAGTTTTTTTTTTTTTTAAATCATTGACTTTTATTTAGCAAGGGCGCATTAAATTGATCAAATAAAGATGATAAGAAAGATTTCTGTTTCAAAAAATTCTGTTATTTAGAACTTTCTATCCTTCAAATAATCCTGAAAAAAATGTATCATGGTTTTCACAAAAATATTAAGCACCAAACTTGAGCTTGAGCACCAAATTAGCATTTTAGAATGATTTTTATAGATAAAGCATTTTTGAATTTGTTATATAATTATTAATTACAATATAGTTATTCCTAACACAATTTATTATTTGTTTTAAAGAAATGCACACAGTTGCTTGTGAAAAGAGCAAAAAGCTCAGCTTTAAGAACAATATCAAAGAATAAAATTATGTTTCACTCAGTTTTAGTTTGTCGGAGTCTAAAGTGCATAAGTATCTAAAATACATACAAAATAAAAAATAAAATACTAAGATAATATCAATAATAAAAAAACTAGATTTTGGGCTCCTCGATTTTGAACTAGGCCTATTTTTTTTTATTGTCAGTGTAGTGTTTTGTTTTATTTTTTAATTTAATGAGAAATATACCATTATTATGACATAAAGTATTTCAAATACTTTGATATTATCATTTATTTGGGCCTGCAAATTTCATTAGTCTTAAACCCGCCCCTTCCTCCTCCCACAGTCCAGCCCCTCCAGTAGATGGAGTTTGAGAGTGTCTGTACGATTTATTTGAAGAGCATCTGTGAGCACGCTGGCTCGAAGACTTTCATAGTGTTTATAATTTCCTTGTTAGCAGGTGAATAATAATTTGAGAAGCAAGTATCCACCTCACTGAAGTAAAACAGGAGTAATTCGTTGACTTAATGACTTCAGCTAGAGCAAACGCGATGCGTTTGGAGGTGGAAAGCGTGTGTTCGCTTTAACTGAGACGAGTTTCCACGTAGGCTATTATCGTATCGGAGACTGAAATGTTTTACAACTTATAACAGAGAACACGCCAAGACATGGTTTCAAAGCATGGAAACAGAAGACGTGACGGTTAGAGAGCAACTATTCCACGACCGAGTCCGAGAAACCATTGTGAGTTTTCCTCTCTGCTTCTCTTGTTTACATAGTATTATGAAGTTGCGGTGCTACAATCTGAATGCGCCCTTGTGTTTGTTCTAATGGAAGTCATTAACAATTACGTGACGGTTAGAGAGCAACTATTCCACGACCGAGTCCGAGAAACCATTGTGAGTTTTCCTCTCTGCTTCTCTTGTTTACATAGTATTATGAAGTAGGCTACCGCTTGCGGTGCTACAATCTGAATGCGCCCTTGTGTTTGTTCTAATGGAAGTCATTAACGATTGATTTGATGATTGTGTGAATGTACACGAGGACTTTGTTCTCATAAAATCATGATTTCACTGTGAGTGTTTGTGTTGTTCTTGCATATTATTTATTTACAAAGTTTTGTTAGAGTATTGTCTACACAAAAGAGACCCTGAGGCATCCATTTACTTTATATTGTACTTTAAGAACTATTAGGCCTACATAGTGATGCACAGCTGCTCATTGTAAAATTTAATGGCAAAGGAAGAGACCGCTCAGCTTTTTGTGATCCAGAGCTCATTTTGGAAAACAGATGAGCTTTTGGCATCCTCATGCGTGCAGATGTCTTTCAACACCTAATAAATTACAACTGTCTATAACTGCACTTCAGACCTCAAGAACCTTACAGCGAAACAATTGGAGTTAACCTTTACTCCTTCACAATGTATCTCACTCAATATTTTAGAGCAATACATTTGGTGCTTATTTTTAAACCACTAATCTGGTAGGTTATGCAATTCACTAGCTACAAAAAATGACCCCCTAAAACTATAGAATAAATGACAATCTAATACATCACTTAAGAATTCTAGTCTTAATCTGTGTAAAGCAGTCGTAGACATTGTTGATTTCATCATTTGTTGTTCTACACAAACACAAACTCTATTTTCAGACATTTTAAGTGCATACTCTCTTATTTATACATTCTTCTGTTCCGTTTTTGTCTGTGTGATGCAAAGCTGTAATCCTCCTAGAAAATGAGAAATGCCTCTCTTAATGAAATGCACAGATGGGTTACACTAGATAATGTAAATCAGACCCATTGTCCTGCCCCAGGCCGTGGGCACCACAGAGCTCATGCTGTCATGGTTATATTGATCCCTGTCGCTGATGCTTATCTCATCTGGGATTTATAATTTAAATCAGTGGTTTTCAACTGGTGGGCTGTGACCTAAAAGCGTGTCACCGGACTGTGATCACAGACTACAGGGAAAAACAGTGTTAAAGGTAAAATTGCAAATAATAAAATGCAAATAACCATGTAATTTTTTTTGTAGTTAGTGTAACAAATTGTCAAATCGGCTTTTAAAAAGGGTGGAGAAAATGCTTTACATATCTTTTGTTGTTGACGTACAAAGATGCGCACAATGCATACAATGTGCGTACAGTCAGACTGGCTCCGTCATTCAGTAATATGACTAATACTAATAACAAAATATTAGGCTTGGTGATTCTTTACTGCTGATGATTAATCACTTATGCTGTTATTTATATATTTACGAAGCTGTCATTGTTTATATTGGTTAATTTTCTATGCTTTATAGTTCATTGTACTACAAATAAAATGCCTTTTCCCCCCCTTTTTTTTATTACTATTGCATGAAAAACAGTTTTGGTCTTGTGTTGGGTTGGCATTTGATGCCCAATGTAAGACCTGGATTTTGAAGTAAAACCGTTCGAGAACCACTGATTTAAATAAATGTGTATTTTGATTCAGACTTTAAAGTGATATATACATATATATATATATATATATATATATATATACACACACATACTGCCGTACAAAAAAAAGTTTGGGGTTGGTAAGGTTTTTTAAAGTTTCTTATGGCCACCAATTTATTTGATTGAAAATACAGCAAATGAAACCGTCATATATGATAACTATTTAAAAGAACTGTTTATATTTATAATTTAAAATAACTATAATGATTTGAAATGTAATTTATTCCTGTAATGGCATTTATTTATTTATTTATCTTTTGATATTTAAGATATTTGCACTAACATCAAACAGTTGATAAAATTGTTACCATAAGTCGTTACCACCTAAATTAAATCAATTTTGTTTAAATAAACAGCTGAATTAAACCGAGAATGTACACAGATGTTTTAATGTCAGATAAAACCTTTTTTTGTAAATGGATCCTTGGGTGGAACTCAGAACTATTGAATTTCCACTTGTAAACCAAACACAAAATTTATGACAATGTCAGTTTTGTTCTTGGTTGATCTTCAGGAGGGACAGTCTGTTAGAGGGAGTAGCAGGTTTGGCATGGTTCCCACTCTGTAGATGTGCATGGAATGCAGTGCATGTAATACACTTTATTAAGGTGCATATCTGAACATGTTACTTGGCCTTCAACAATAGAGGGTTTTGTACTCACACCCACAGATGTTTAATAGTGTTTACTAAGAAGGTATCTTCTTTATGATGGGACATTATTATTTGTTGCTCCTGAAAACCAACTTGAATTTTCTATTCAAGTTCTATTCTAATCCTTTCTAGTAATGGGTTTAGTACCTCTGATCAAATCACGTTATTAGTGTTTTTGTCATACGTCTGTCCATTTGCTAGTCTATCCCAGGACACCTCAAGTGTTGTTTTCTCATTGTGTCAATTCACGTTCACTCTATAGCTGACTGTTTTGCTAAATAGCCTGTTTCACTTGAGTAAATAACTTGGGCTTTGTTCCAAGTCTCATTGTGCAGAGAGAATTACCCAGAGCAGTTAAAGGAGACACATTATGCCCCTTTTTACAATATGTAACATAAGTCTCTGGTGTCCCCAGAATGTGTCTGTGAAGTTTCAGCTCAAAATACTCCACAGATCATTTATAATATTTTTTGAAAATGCCTATTTTGAGTGGAAGCAGAAACACGCTGTTTTTCGGGCCTGTCTCTTTAAATGCAAAAAAGCTGCTGCTCCCTGACCCATTTTCCAGAATAGAGCTGCGCCATTACAGCTCGTACCTGCTAAAAACATCTGTTTTGGTTCTGATTATGATGTTTATCGAAATAAATCGCATGTTTATTTTAGATCTGTGTGGCAGCAGCAATAAACAGTAAATTAATCAATAAATCCACAGCTCTGTTGTCTCTTCTGAGGCTGGGACTGTAAATAGTGTTCTGTGCTCATCTGTGCAGCCAAAGACAGAACAGTTAGCGTGTTTTGCTCAAACGTTAGCCATGGCATTAGAACTGGTACACCGTTGTCGTTTGCTAAATCAAATAAAGGCGCCAGTGGGTGTAAATTTACAGATTAAGGGGCGGTAATATTATAATGAGATCCCTTTGCCACATCACCAAGGGAGCGAAATCAGACGCGCTAGTTTTCTCAGACGCTTGAAGAAAAAGGCTTACCAAAACAAAGTTACTGGGTTAATCTTTTTTGCGTTTCCTTGGTTGGTAGATGCACCGGGGACCTGATTATAGCACTTAAAACCTGGAAAAGTCAGATTTTCATGATATGTCACCTATAAGCCTTAAGATTCAGAATGTTTGAGCTCAGTTGTTTAACCAGTCCTGCTAAATTGGTCAGCAAATACACTATGGATGACCTGGTTTCCTGTTCATAATAAAATTACACTCGCATTATGTGGCCAGTCACAATAACATTGACTCATATTGATGAAGAGGTTTGAAAACATGCCCACCATTCCCCAATTAGATTAGTGAAATAGAAGATTTAGTTTCTTATCTTCTGTTTATTGACCTACAGAAACTGGTAAATATTGTCTCTGTCCACCCTTTTGGTTGTTTGAAAGGATTTAAAGGGATATTGCACAAACAGTGACATTTCTGTCGTCACAGAGTGTCGTTCCACACCAGTTTCTTTCTAATGTGGAATTTCAGTGGAACACAAAAGAAGATACTTTCAATGAGAGTCAGTTGAGTCCAGTGTTGTTTTGGACCCCATTGACTTTCATTGTATAGACAAAAAACGATGAGGTATTTTTCAAAATTTCTTTGACTGGCAATACAATAAGACCGGACATGTATTCTCATGTTATATCCAACTGTTTTGTTACGCAATCTTTTGTTTCAGTTTTCACATGCTATATTTGAGCTTGGCTGTTTTAACTTGTTGGTTTAGTATATTCTGTTTTAGTCGAATGAAAGCAAACTATTCAAACGCTGAGCAAACAAATCTGTGTGAACACCTTTCAGCGCTTCAGTGATAGTATCCCACAGATCTATTGTTTTCACTGCTGTTTGCATTTTGAAGACAAAATCACAGTTTCCTGTCCCGTCCCCTCCCTCATCTCTTTTCCTCTTGCTGCCTTTCTTCCTCTTTTTTATTGGACATGGTGCTTCAGAATAAAATTTTTTTTCTTCAGTTCACTCAATATACAGCACACCTATAAGGTGTATTAAATACATAATCATCATGTCTTTTGTTTCCTTTCTCAGAAGTATTGTTTCCACATGCAGATCTTGTATCTGAAATCAGGAAAAAGGTTAATTTTTGGTTAATAAAGTTTTCTCTGGATGAGAAGAGTCATGCATTGCCCTTCCTCGAAGTTAAAATAGCACCAAAAGAAGAATAGCAGTCTGATGCCAGTATGTTATAGAAATGTGTTCATCTGATTTTAGAGATTGTGGCTTTGTAGGTTTATTTTAAAGTAAAATGAGACATTGACTGAAATCAAGGTAATTGTGAAACCAAGTCTATTATATGTCTTCAGACATTTTTCACAACTCTTTTGCACATGCTTTTTTTACTCTTGCATCAACTACTGTATTTGTTCTCTTCTGGTCAAATGTTGGGATGTTGCAGCACTACAATTCTTTATGGCTGTTATGATTTAGGAATTTAGTTGTTTTTAATAATTTAATTTAGGGCTGCAAAACGATTCATCGCATTCAAAATAAAAGTTTACGTTTACATACTATGTGTGTACTGTGTATATTTATTATGTATATATAAATACACACGCATGTATATATATTTAAAAAATATTTGTATTTATTTATTTATTGTATATAATATATATAAATATTTTATATATAAATCTAACATTTTTCCTTATATACATGTATGTGTGTGTATTTATGTATACATAATAAATATACACAGTGTACACACATAGTATGTAAACACAAACCTTTATTTTGAATGCGATTAATCGTGAGTAATCGTTTTGCAGCCCTAATTTAATGTATTTTTTTACATTTTAGGGTGCTTCGACTACAATTTCAAGTAATGATAACAATAATGAATTCATGTTTAGCAGTATTAACATTTTAAATATGACCAACTGTTAAGTTATTGTGATAAATCTCTAAATGTGCTGTAAATGTCTAAATTGCCTGTAAATCTTTACTGTGTTTAATCTATTAATATCTAATCCCAGTTGTAACTGGTTTAACTCTTCATTTGCATTTGAGCTGTAATCTTCATCCACCATCTGGTGCTGTTACCTTCATTCTCAAGTCTGTATTGTGGGTGTTCATTCATTTGGAATTCAGATTTCTAAGAAAAGGGACAGCTGGCATTAAAAAAATGACACTGTACTTACTGATGCACACTTGCTGATTCACTTGCTATTGCCACACAAATGACTGGTTTTTATATTCTGGGACACTAAATGCATTTTCTTCCATTATCTTTTATAAAGAATATGAAATGTATTTCTATAATATCTTTGACCGGTCCCGTCCCATCCCACCCCTTCACCAGTCTGTGTGTTATCATTAAGAACCTAATGTCCTTGATTAGGAGCTCTTATGTCACAGAGCTGTAAAGGCAATCTGGACTGTGCACAGCAGTGTCAGTGATAATGGGGCTGTGTTGGAGTGTGTTTCATGAACTCTGCTCTGTTACAGGGTCTTGATAGCTTAAATTGGCAACACATCTAAGCAGCGTGTTTGCATAGCACGTCTTGTTGCTGCCTCTTGACGGTTGTGTTGCGCATATTACTTTTACTTTACTTTTTACTTTTAGTCATTTAGCAGACGCTTTTATCCAAAGCGACTTACAAATAAGAAAAAGTAATTAAAACTAAAAGCTAA